AGGTGGTGCGTTACGTAACGTTCCTATTGGTGGTGGCTGCAGAAAAAACAAGAATACTAACATGTCTACTACCTCCGCGGCAAAATCAAGTGCTGCAAAGTTGAAAGCTTCACTTCCAAGCTTTCTTGGAGGGCTCGAACACGAAATCTCTAATTCGAACCCTTTTCTTTTTTCCTCACCTCAAAATCAATATCCTCTTATTTCCATTTTGAGAGGAAATCATCAAAACCTAAGTTTTAATGCTGACACCTGCCACTTCCCAAATTCTGTTGCGGTTAAGGAAGAGGGAAAATCAATTGGTGTGAATTCATATAATCAGCTTCCTAATTCTCTCGGTTTTTGCAGTAATTTGTGGAAAAATAACCAGCAAAATGGTTCTATAATTGGCGAAATTCAAAGCTCAGGACTTCAAGAGCTATATCAAAGACTCAAAGCGTCAACGAGTCGGTGCTATCCTGATCACGCGCCGTCACTTTTTGGAAATACGGCATCATCGTCGTCAATGATTTTGGAGTCAGCTCCGGTGGGTGCTGGAGGAGAATTGGGTTTCTGGAACCCTAGCATTTCCACATGGTCGGATCTGCAGACAGCAAATGGTGCATATTTTTAAGGAACTAAGCGTTACAAATTTACTCCTAGTACTTTCCTTTCTCATTTTTATAACCTAGTTAGGGTTTTGAATGGGGCATCTTGTGTTATAGTATAGCATATAGTCTTCGGATACTTGGACATGGTTGTGGGTTAGTACTTTTTTTTGGTTGTTGTTCCTATATATTTAATGTTTGTGTGTGATCTGGCGTGTTTCATCTCTGAGGATGTACCAAAATGCAAGAGCTTGCTGATGAATTGGCCTACTTCTTAGAGCTTTCATTTCTTACAACAAGCGAGTCTGACAAAATCTTCAATTTGTCAAGAACTGTGAATTGTACTACTACAATGTTTATTATCCATTCTTCTACAAGTACTTCCCTTTACCTTGTTTATTACNGCAATGTTTATTATCCATTCTTCTAGTATATTTAGGAACATAAATATTAAAAATCTAATTTTTTTTCTTAAATTTTGTGTTGAATAAACTATATATAGAACTATCTATTTTACCATCAAAATAAGATGGGACTATGGAAATTGAATTTAGAAAGTTTAAAAAAAGAAAAGAAGAAACAACTCCTAAAAGTGATTCGGGAGAATGAATTTAATGAGTTGGTGGGAAGAATATATCTTCTCGATTGACGCAAAACTTTGTTGGATTTTGTGGTGCTACTAGTATATATTAACATACTTTTGTGGATCGCATGTGTTGAGAGTGGCCTGGTCAAGACAGGTTGATGAGTATCTGTGAAGATTCTTTAAAACTTATTTTTTGAGAAATGTTTTTTTATCAAAAGTAAGTAAGAAGTTTAAGTTTGTTTAATTTATTTGAAAAGCATTTTTAAATAGTATTTAATGTTTAACAAAGCTTTGAAAAATTATTTCTAAATTTATTTTTTCTCAAAAGTGTTTTTAAAAAAAAATTAAATTTTTTTCTGCTTCTTCAAAACTCTTTCTGCTTCTCTTCAAAAACACTTTTTTTTCTTTCAAAAACTTAACCAAACACCTTAATTAAAAAAAAAAGCACTTTAATTTTTTAATTTTTTTTTTCCTAAAAAATGCTTAACCAAATAGGCTATTAGTATGATAAGTGAATCAAGGTTAAAGAAGCCATGTGAACAGTCTCTCCTTATACAGCAATTTGAATAGCAATATTTTCAGAACGATTCCACATGCAGCTTTATCACTTTATCTATGACAGTGTCGTTGCCTACCACTAGCTAGACAACCAAGTTTATTACTCAATCTGTCCCCATTGTCATCAAATTATTTTGGCCTTTGTGGAGTAGTAAATTTCTCATTTTAAAATGATGACAAATACATTGAAACTAAAAACAATTAGTTTGTAAAGACCCACAAACTTGAGGAGATTTCATCCTAAATAATTGAAGAATCAGAAATGGAGAAAATTCGGAAGAAGCATTTGTTCTGTAGACAACATATATATGAAGCTAACAAGAAGATATATAATGCTGTGAACATGTATCTTTGGTCTCTAACTTGGTATAAGGACTTCCGTGCTTGGGAAATTACATCTAATCAGAATATCACACTTTTCAACATATATTATTGATGTTCCATAATTAAGTCCTTAATGGCTAATGCATCAAGTTCATTGAGAGGGCTGGACTAGTAACAGTGAAATAGTAGGAGTGTCTGTGTCACTCTAAACAACACTTTCAGTAGTGAATACTAAGTTTTATTTCTTTCGGAGTTCAGCGGGGAAGGGGGACAGCTCACAGAGGATGAAGTTTGGCCAATGTGAGGCCAAATTTCTCCTGCATGTTCAAGTCTTTTGGTGCAATATTACCCTCAATTTTCCATTTAAAAGTATTCAACAATGTGCCTAACATTACAGGGACCATCCTTGTGTACGGGTAAAATTGAGCTCTGTGTTCGATCGAGCTTGTGAAACGGAGGGCCAAGGTCGGTACATCTGTAATTGGGTAAAAATCGAAGTCCGAGGTTCGATCTGTCATCCAACAAGGTCAGCCAAGGGCGGAATATAATATTCAAGATCGGACCCAAAGCATTATCAAAACAAGCCATCGAGATTATCAGATTTGCCTTCGAGTCTACCGAAGGCGTAACCGGTCATGTTTCTGACGGTCTCGAAGAAAGCTCTGCCAACTCATCCGACAGGGGTCCGTGATTCTTGCCATTAACCAATCATTATGGCAAAAATCACGGAATTAGCCAAAAGGGAACCAACGGTCTTCAAAATCAACAGGACTTATATTTTTTATAGTACAATAAAATAATACCCCAAAGGGTAGGTCTCCCTCAATATATAAAGGAAACTTGACAATTCATTAAACACATTGTAACACATATCAAAAAAGCAATATATTGTTATCTCTAGCTTTGTCACAATTCATTTTACTCCAGCATCGATAATATTAGTTCTAGCTCGAGGGACATTAATCTCACAAGGTTAGGATTGCTCAACTTGTGTGATTTGCATTTATCTTTTATCTTTTATTCCCATAATTACTCTGATTTATTACTCTGTATCAAATTAGATCACGTATCCTTAAAACCACGTACAAATTCAATTGTTATCCGATTTTGAGGGTAAACAGTTTGGCGCCCACCGTGGGGCTAAGGATAATAGTGGTTATTTGATACAAATCCCTATAACACGCACTACTTTATACTTGCTCTTTGAAGTGTCTTTGATTTCATGCTAAAAATGACAAACTCTCAATTAGCACCCCTACATATCGACAACGAATCCGGTCATCAAGGTGAGAATAACAACATGATGCCCGGTAACGTTGGGCTACCGCTGATCCCGTTAGAATTCGGACCGCGGATCCGATTGATGTTAACTCGTATGTGGCCATCGACGCGAACTTGCCTACCGACCCTGAAAATAGCGTCCGCGGTGGAGCCCGATCGGCAGCTCGAAACACGCAAAACATTAAAGAAGACGGAATCAGCCTACGGATGATCTTCGAAATGCTACAAGCTCAACATGTGGCGATAGCTCAGTTGCAGAGCCAAAGCCAGGTACCAAGCAGAGTTGAACCCATCCGCCCCGAGGAGCCACCCGTAGAACTGAACCGATTGTAGTAAGGTCGAATGAACAAGAATCGGGAGCTAACCCCGAGATTATAAAGATGCTCGAGGAGCTGACAAAACGGATAAAATCAGGGGAAAAGGAAATAGAAGCAAACAAAAAAAGGTGGAAACCTACAATTCCATGGTAGATCAAATCTCAGGGGCACCTCCGATATTAAAAGGACTGGATTCTAGGAAGTTCGTGCAAAAACCTTTTCCTCCAAGCGCGGATCCGAAGTCGATCCCCAAGAAATTCTGTATGCCTGAAATACCTAAGTATAACGGGACGACCGATCCAAACGAGCATGTAACCTCTTATACATGTGCCATCAAAGGGAACGACTTGGAAGACGACGAGATCGAGTCTGTTCTACTAAAAATATTTGGAGAGACCCTATCAAAGGGAGCCATGATATGGTATCACAACTTACCTCCTATTTCTATTGACTCATTTGCTATGCTTGCAGATTCTTTCTTAAAAGCACATGCCAGTGCCATCAAGGTCGAAATAAGGAAATCGAACCTTTTCAAAGTCAAACAGAGGGACAACGAGATACTCAGGGAATTCGTGTCCTGTTTTCAAATGGAACGAATGGATCTACCGCCGGTCGCTGATGATTGGGCCGTTCAAGCTTTCACTCAGGGACTCAATATTCGAAGCTCGGTGGCTTCACATCAATTGAAGCAGAATCTGATAGAGTACCCTGTTGTTACCTGGGCCGATGTACACAATTGGTATCTATCGAAAATCAGGGTCGAAGATGATCAACTCGGGGCCCCTTCAGAGTCTGTTTATCCCGCTAGAACCCTCGACAGAATCAAGAGAGACATCGATCATGAACCAGGATCAAATAGGGATCGGTATCGGCCATATAATGGAGATCGGAGGAGCAGTGGGTCCGGGCAGAACCCTATAAGAAACGAAAGGAGAAATGAACAAGGTCGAAGCAATTGGGGACTCATGACCAAAAACAGCTTCGACATGTCCATCGGGCCTAAAGAACCGCCGAGGCTACCGGAATACAACTTTAATATCGATATTGCCGCCATCGTATCAGCTATCGGGCGCATTAAGGAGACCAAATGGCCTCGACCTTTACAATCCGATCTAGCTCAAAGGGATCCCAACCAGATGTGCACATATCATAGAACTCACAGTCATAGAACGGAAGATTGTTGACAATTGAGAGAAGAAGTAGCCCGACTATTCAACAATGGGCACCTTCGGTAATTCTTGAGCGACCGGGCCAAGAATTATTTCAGGAACAGGGATTCTAACAGACAGACAGAACAAGAAGATACCAAACCTCAACACGTCATTAATATGATCATCGGTGGAGTCGATATCCCACAAGAGCCGATGTCGAAACAGACCAGAGTGTCCATCACCAGGGAGAAACGAACTCGAGACTACATACCGGAAGGAATCTTATCTTTCAGTGATGAGGATGCGAAAGGGATCATACAACCTCACAATGATGCACTGGTAATATCTATACTTGTAAATAAAACTAGAATTAAATGAGTGTTAATTGATCCAGGTAGCTCGGCCAACATAATTCGGTCGAGGGTCATAGAACAGCTCGATATACAAGACAAAATCGTGCCTGCAGTTCGAATCCTAAACGGGTTTAACATGGCATGTGAAACCACCAAGGGAGAGATAACATTACCGGTAAATACCACCGGAACCATAAGAGAGGCCAAGTTTTATGTGATCGAAGGAGATATGAGATACACCGCCCTTCTTGGAAGGCCATAGATCCACAACATGAGTGTAGTGCCCTCAACTCTTCATAAACTGTTAAAATTCCCAACTACGGAAGGGATTACGACAGTCTATGGGGAACAACCGGCCGCAAAAGAGATGTTTGCAGTCGAAGAAGTGATTCCGATATCAACATCCACAACATCAAAGGAACCAAATTCGGGTGCAAATCAAGAGGCCAAATATCA